TTTTTTTTGGTCTTTTTTCGTGTCCGGCAATGGATCACAACCCTCAGTGTCGCGCCTGTACTGGACTGGGACCGGCAACGGGATTGCAACCCTTGGTGTTGCGCCCTCACCTCACTCAGTCAGTGAGCGGGAACCGGTCTGTATGTAGGATCCGAACCCTCGGCAGGAGCACCGCTGCGCTCCCAAGCGGCGTACTATCCAGTGCGCCACCGGGCCGGCCCAAAATCTACCAACTTTTAATTGTAAATAACAACACATATAATACAGTAAACCTCCTACTTTTTCAAGCTTCAGTATTTTCTAAAATTGCTCAGAAATAGCATTTATAGGCACTAACAAGACACATACTCTTTCCTTCCTTGTGCAGGCAGTATGAACGTTTGGTGAGTTTCCCAGTGTAAACGGATTTGCAGGACTGGCAGTGGAGATAGGGGCCCCAGAGAGCTCCTGTGTGAAGCTTGAGGACACTGGCCTTTTCTGAAGCCTGGGTAATAATTCACCCAGCTGACGTGCTGGTGGTTACTGTGGGCTATAGGCAGCTGTGCACTAGACATTTTACGAGTTTTCAAATAAGTATTATTGATTCAGTAAAGAAAAACTTTGATTAAATGAAAGCACTAATCTTCCATGATTTACCTAATCTTTTAAATAAGCTTGCAGGCTAATGGTGCAACAAGCTAATGCAGTAACTTTTTTTTTTAAATTTATTTTTTGTTATCTACTGCTTATCAAGGGATATCAAAATATCAGTCTTATCAGTTACTGTGCTCTATGTATTTAATGGAATTGGGAATTATTTAAATATGAAATATTGTAACTCAGACTAAATTATTAATGAACCAAGTATAATGCTTGACTTCTTTGTTAATGAAAGTTCAACAGTCTGCCAGCTGCAACAGGATACTCTTGCAAGGGATCTGGCCCTCTCAGCCATGGATACCCTGCATGTAGCCTTGAACCTGGGGGGAAGTAGAAGACGGTTTTGAATCTGGAACAGCTGTCATAGGACACAAGTGTTTTAGATGACAAAGCCAGAAAGAATGTAAAAAGTGAAGTCACAGGCCAGAAGCAAAGGTGCATTTGGGACGATTGTGTTGTTGGGGGCACCAACACTTGGGGCTGCAGAGGGATCTCATACTGCACAAGAAAAATTCCCCAGAGAAGTGCTGAATTATAAGAAGAGAATCAGAGATCATCAGGGGTGAAGAATATTTTACATTCTTTCTTTCATTAATTCATTAAAACCTTTTTTGAAGGTTTACTGTAGGTCATGTGTTTTAAATATATTAGTGTCAAGTCTTACAAACTCGTGGAAGCAGCTATCTTTTTATCCACTTCCTAGATGGCAAATAGCACAGAGAGGCTGAGTAAATCAAAGTCACACAGCTAATAAATGTTAGAACTGGTTAATAAACAACTGGAACGTCTGACTCATCTGGCCCGTTCTTCTCCATGAGTCTCCTCTGGCTTGCAAGAGAGATGCTGAATAACATCTATTCTAGATGGTCTTCTAAAGGGTGGTTTTAAAAGCAAGGAATTGTTTGTGTATCAGAAAAGCTTTCTATTAAAGGAAAACATATTTTTTTTCTTTTTTAGTTCAGTACTTAAACTAGTTACCTTGTGTGGGAAACCTATTTGGATAGTGGTTTTAAAAGCAAGGAATTGTTTGTGTATCAGAAAAGCTTTCTATTAAAGGAAAACATATTTTTTTCTTTTTTAGTTCAGTACTTAAACTAGTTACCTTGTGTGGGAAACCTATTTGGATAGTGTCACTATACGAGGTTGACATGTTAATGATTACTTGTGCTACTTCTGGGTTAGTGAAAATGCAAAAAGAATGAAATCCAACTGTCTTCAGCCATTATTTAATTCCATAGTGGCTATTGCTGGTAGAACTCTTCTGGTAGAAGTATTCTTGGATCCTCCTTTAGTAGGTAGAGTTCTAGAAGGTCAAAAAGGTCACCAAGTCATTCAAGTACAGCACTGCAGGAGAGGCTGCCTATGCCTCCTCCGCCTGGATCTGGGGCATAAATTGCAAGTATTTCACCTTTCCATGGCTTGGTGGTATTTAGTCCCCAGGAGGTCTGCCCCCCATGGTCTGATGGCTTCATTGATAGTTTACCAAGTTTACCTTTGTCTTCCCTCCCACATACCCACAGGAACACAGTGGCCAATGCTTAGTCTTGCCAAGTGTAAGCCTGGGCTGCCTTCTTTTTATGTCTCCCATCCCCAATCTACTTTCCCCTACAGTTATATTTGGCCCTTTCTCCAGATCTAAGAAACACTTGTCCACACCTGCCAGCCCACAGTATTCAGACACTCAAACGCATTCAGAACAGCGCAGCCCAGCCCAGGACTTCATCTGGTGGGCATTGAGGCAGGGAAGTCCCACCCCAACACCCCAGGGAGAATCAGACTCAGACTCACTAAATCAGAGGTAGACTTAGAACAGGCACCATGTGTCAGCATCTTCAAGGACTTAATCAGTGTCTAACTCAGTGTACTAACTAAGTTATCTCAAATAACTGAACAAAATCAGCACAATCATAAAACTGATAGTTCAGTATTGGAGAGTTCTTAATGATACCTTGAAGTTCTGCAGAAGTATATAATTGTATTGTAAAATTATGGCAGTATTTAATAACATTTATAAGGATTTTTTAAAATTAACTGTAATCTCATGATCCAGCAACACCATTGACCTTTTTTGTAAAGTGTGGAGGTACACAAACTTTAAAAACTTGAATAGTGCAAAATGACATAAAAATTAAGAGGAATTTTTCTCATGCATCTCTGCTATTCGACTTTCTGTTCCTGAAGATAACCACAATCACAATTTCTCATGAGTCCTTCAGGAAAATTTCTTAAGTGTAGATGCAGAAGTTTTTAAATGAGCACAATTGGGTTTACACTGTATGCTGTATTATATACTTATTAAAAATTTAATGTATTTTGGAAACACCATACAATAAACCTTAAATTTATAGGCTCTGAACTTATTCTAATTTTCTTCAAATCCCTACACCTTATTTCCTAGCCAAGTGACCTTGAAAACGTTACTTAATCATTCTACATCTCTATTTCCTCACCCATAAAAAGGGAATATTAATGATACCTACCTCACAGAACTGCTGAAAGTGATAAATAGGTATCACAAAGAAAATGTTGGCCACAGTTTTAGGATCTCAAAAATTAATTAGGACTGTCATTGGGATGTAATTATATATTTTTTAATGGTTATATGCTCTCCAATTTTATAAATGTACTTTAAAAAATTTACCCTGAATTTATTGGTAAATACCTAAATAATTTCTCATTTTTATTTTTTTGTTTTATTTGTGTTTTTTAGGAATTACAGACAATGATACAATATACATTTGCATGTAATTTACCAGTATTGAAAAAGTGCTTACAAGAAGTATTTGGGAAGAATTCCAAAAGATTAAATTCCTAGAATTGAGTAGTACATTTTAAATGATGATAGCCTATGCCACATAGCTATGGCAGCTGACCCTCCTGGGTGTGGCCTCGGTTTACACATCCCCAGAACATAAAATTGACTCTGTCCTCATGCTAACCAACAATCATATTAACGAGCTTTAAAAATATCTGTCACTCTCAAAGGTAAAAAAGTTGAGATTTTTTAAACATCATTTATGCTAGTCTATTATGATGTACAGATATTTTTAGTATTTTAATAAAATCACTTCTTTCCTATTTCCTTTAATGATTTCCTCAGAAAGAACTTCCCAATTCCTAAGTCAGTTTTCTCATGCTTTCTTCTGGATTAATTTTAAGTTGCACTTTTCTAGAAAATGTCACTTTTTATTCAAGTTTTAAAATTCATTTGAACAGAGTTTTAAAAATTACTCTAGGAATTCTAACTTTACCCTTTATCTGGGACCGTCCACCCCATATGTTAATATCTAAGTCTGTGCACGTGCTGCTTGTGGAATGTCCATTGCCTTTGGTTTAATTGGCCACCTGTGATGTGCTGCAGTCCCCTCCCTGTCCCTAGAACCAAGTCAGGGAAGAGCTCCCTCCACATGCATCTTTCTACAAGGGGCAGGTGGAGAGAGCTCAGGCCGTGTGGAGAGAGACGTCTCCCACTCCTAATTCTCAGCCCAGGTTTTTGCTCCCACTGGAGGGAACAGCGTGTTTTTAAAACAATAATGAAAAGCACAATCCTTGGAGAATCGGCCGTGTCTCCAAGTTGGAAAGTATGATTGTGTTTTGTTCTTCTTTATTTTTTGCAGTCAGGCATGATACGAACAGAAGAAGCAGATTACTTCTTAAAGCCACTCCCTTCCCACCTCGCAGGGACAGTCAACAGCTCTGCTTCCCATGTGCTGTACAAGAGATCTGTGGGACCCCTGCCTGCCAGGGCCAACGAGGTCATGGTGACCGCCAGGAAGCGGGAGCTGCCCGGCCAACCCCTGCACGGTGGCAGCTTCCACCTTGGCCTCCCACAAAAGCAGCATTTCTGTGGAAGACGCAAGAAATGTATGTAAGGGCGATTCTTGTTATGTAGTTAATGATTTGGGCATTTATGTAAGCCGATAGAAGATTTTTTATTTTCTTTGAAGTATGTCTGCCCAGGAGGTGAAATTTATTAACTGTTATTGCTAAACTCAGGTGATGCTTCCAGAGAGGCTGTTGTTATCTGTAAGTTCAGTATAAATCATCTCTCCGTGGGAGATGGATAGGTAATGGCAGCTGACTTTTTTTTTTTTTAAAAGAATTATTCCCTAGAAAGATTCAATGACACACTAATCAGACGTACAGAATCCACCAGACATCTTCAAAAGAACCCTGGCATCTTGACTCAGTAATCCTAGATTTTTGAAGTTTAGATTTATTAAAGCCCACATAACTTTCCTGCTGAGGTCATCTATTTATATACATATTTATATACTTTATTCCACCACATCAATAGGGCAGATTGTGCATGACATAATTTACCTACAATTTTCACCAAGGCTTTATGGAAGTCTTTTTTGTCATGACCATTTAGGAGGTGATTTGTTATTCACATTTTTTGTAGAAACCTCTCACAAATCCAGGAATGCATATGCAGTGTTTTCTAGAATGTTCCTCACTCCCTTGCTCTCTCCCCTCAAGCATCACCTGATTGAACCTTCCCCCGATGAGCCTCTGCAAAGCCCTTTCCTCCCCAGCCCCATCGTTCTCTGCTTGGTCGGTTTTGCTGACCGCTATACCCAGCACTCTAAAATAGAGGTGGGCGTGTTGCAGGTGAATCTTGTTTAATAAGGTGAACAAACAAAAATCACGAGGCACCTGCAACAGAAGAATAAACACCACTTAAACTATCAGTGCCTGTGTGGCATCTGAACCCGTGTCATCCTATACATGGAAGTCATGTGCTATATTCAAGCAGACATGAAAACCTCAAACCCAGGTGAACTTAAGTCAGTGGGCTCCAGGCAGCAGCAGGAAGAAGAAAGCTGAGAAGAAACAGAGGAGAGGAGGATCTGAGGTCAGGGAAGCCCGAGGCTGGTGAGTGTTAGAACAGGGCGTGCGTAGCAGCAGTAGCTGCCTGCAGGTTCTGCCACCAAAAGAAGCAGAGGCGAGTGGGGCAGGGAGAGGAGGATCTGAGGTCAGGGAAGCCCGAGGCTGGTGAGTGTTAGAACAGGGCGTGCTGTAGCAGCAGTAGCTGCCTGCAGGTTCTGCCACCAAAAGAAGCAGAGGCGAGTGGGGCAGGGGCAGGACCAAGAGGCGGGGCTGAGGCCTCAGCAAGGATAGAGCCAGGATTCCTGCTGGCAGCGCTCATGGGGTGTGTGGCCAGGGTAGGCCAAGTTCCATGTACCAGGGACAAATTGACTGACCTGGGCACCTGGATCTGGGTAGAGAAGGTGTCGGCAGGACCAAGAGGCGGGGCTGAGGCCTCAGCAAGGATAGAGCCAGGATTCCTGCTGGCAGCGCTCATGGGGTGTGTGGCCAGGGTAGGCCAAGTTCCATGTACCAGGGACAAATTGACTGACCTGGGCACCTGGATCTGGGTAGAGAAGGTGTCAGGGCTGTCTTAACCTCTCTGACAGGCCACACCGGGGTCTGAAGCAGATATTGCAGCCGACCTTGAGAACACCTGGCAGTGCTGACGATTCTGAGATGAATGACACTTTTGTCCTTACCCGAGACAATCAGAGCCACTCAAGCCAGTAGCATGGCTAGGACACATCTCTGCACACAAGCAACTGGGATTGCTTTCAGTTTGGTGTGGGTGGGTGTACACGTGTGCATGAGGTGTGTGCATGTGTGCATAGGCATGTGCATCAGGGTGTGTGGCCTTGAGACATGTTTTAGAATCTCAATAGCAGAAGTTGATGAGAGGTGGGTGTTTGAAAAAGAACTAAAATGTATAATTAATTTTGTATTTGGAAAGTGGAAAAAAGTAGCCATTGTTCTCATGATAAAACTAGAGAAGGAAAGCTCTATGAAACACTTGGTGCTGGTGGAAGGCCTTGGTGATCGACATCCTGCCATTTGTTTTGCTGGATATTTCTGACCCCTCCTGGCCGGGCACCTGATAGTACTGCACTCCTGAGCCCCAGTGGCTGGGGGCCATGTGACCAGTCAGAGTTGAGACCCATCACTTCCAGGCTGAAGCATTTAATTCTCAGGACCTCTTGTCTGTGAATAGATGGTCCATGTCGTCCCTGAGGCCTTGGACTTCCCTAGGGTTGGAGGCAGGAGGGGGTGGTCATGTTCTCCTGTCTAGATGGGATTCACAGTTAAGTATTCTTCCCTATTAGAGTCTCTGGTTCAGGAAATCAGAGCTGTTGCTGTGTGTCCATTTATGCATCTATCTGTGAAAAGGGCAAACAAATGCAAACTGACTTGTTTAAAAGTCAACAGTGAGGTTGGACTCATGAGTGGACCTGCTGCTTCTCAGCTGATGGAGGGGCGTTAGCTGGGGCTCATGTGTTTTGGGGATGATGCTACAGGCAACATATTGAGGGGCAAGGGATTTGCTCTGGACAGTGAGATAGTACCCCACAGTGCTTCTACCCTCTGCACCCAGCACCAAGGACCACAGCTGCTGGGACCCTTTTGTGTCCTGGCTTCATCCCACATGAGTTTCCCACCGGTGGAAACAGATCAAGGGGTCTGGGACCACACTGCTCAAATCTGAAACCCATTTCCAACACTTTCTAGGGAAGCGTTACAGGCAAGTCAGGTCCATTCCCTCTGCCTCCATCGCCCGATCCTCAGCTTCTGCACAAGGCAACCTCCAGGGTGGGGGTCACACCTGTGGAAATCACAGACATGGCAGTGACCTGTGCTCAGTAAACACTGGCCAGTGTAATCATTATTCTCCAAAAGGTTCATTTAGGTTTGGAAGTATTTTAGCAAAGAGAGATAAAATGTGTTGGATGTGAGTTCCAGTTAAACAAAACAGTCTCTGCTAACAGTGTGTTCCCTGAATACAGTTTGCATAGTTTTTGGATGCATGCCACCTAAATATGTGGGCTTTTTAAAGTGTGCTTTCACATTTAAACAATTCTAATCACTCTTTCCGAGGCATCAACTAAACTTAATTGTTTTTAATATAGTGTTAATTAAGTTAATGATTTTAAATGCCAAAAATATTTCTAAAGGGATTACTCCAAGAGGGCAGATTATTTATGTTGCTTTCTAGGGAATTCAGCTCTGCAGTGAGCAGCTTAGAATTTATTTTAAACAGTATAGACAGATCAGTTATGTGTCCAGACATTGAATTCAACTTTAAGAACTGTCAGGTCATTAAAATGCTTTAAATAGGAAATCAATGCAAGCCCGTGCTTTCTTTTGTGATTGTTAGTTCCGCTGTTTTGTCATTGCTCTTTTGTGGAGCAGCCCTGTTCCGTGCATCCCTGTGCCCATGGTCTTTTAACATTGTACTTGCAGATGCTGGGGCTTCAGGACCAAAGAGCCTCCTCTCTTGTTGTTTTAAATCAGGACAAAATTACGTAAAAGTAAATACACGCATCCCTGTGCCCATGGTCTTTTAACATTGTACTTGCAGATGCTGGGGCTTCAAGACCAAAGAGCCTCCTCTCTTGTTGTTTTAAATCAGGACAAAATTACGTAAAAGTAAATAC